GTGCGTAGTACCTAGCCTATATACTAATAGCATACCCTGTAGAAGCGAGTGAACCCATAAGATATAGTGACTCTTTGAAATTTAGTAATCTCACCCCATTGTTGTACATTATTTTCAGGTAGCTCGAGGCAAGACAAAGGAAAAGGTAGGATGGTTTGAGTAACTTGAAGATATTTCATTGGCAGTCTTTTCCACAGTGTTTTGGCGTATTAGTTATACTATTTTCGGATTATTAGTAATATCCAATGTGGTATATTTTTGACCATGATGTATTCGACTTTTTCATTTTGTACTAATTCATGTTCTAACACTGATACTTATGTATGTTATTTAAGTACCATATTTAGAACCACTATGTATTATTATAGACATATATGTATGGAATGTTACAGAGCAAAACCTTAAGGTAAGCCCAAGAGCTCGACTGGATCTGCGAGGGGGAAACCTTCAGATATTTCAACACCGCCACTTCAAATCAGACTAATGCAATAGTAGGGTTATCCTAGTGAACGGACACTCGTAAAAGGAAACAAAAGAACCTTCAAAGGTGTTGCACATCCTTTTCTCCGGATCCACCAAAAGGACAGACTAGTTAGAAGGATGGCCGACCATAATGGCATCATTTACAACCGTCTGATCACTTAAAACGGAAGGAGTCCCCAATCCAACTGAGTCCACCCAACCGTATTTTCCCATTTGATTTTTCCTAAGGACAACTCATCGGCCTTAAAAGAACTAGCAAGGTTTAAGCCAACTAACTTCATTCAGTTTGGTTCCATGTTTCAAATGATCCTTGATGTAAGCCTCACTTGGGTCTCGAACGTAGACTTGTCGATAAGCCATAGAGAAATATTTGTCATAGTTCCTATATAGGATATCAACCATCATCTCTGGAGTCATCAAAGCAGATGAATTCAAAGTCCTCGCAACTTGAGAGAAGTTAGGCACAAAAGTGACGATGCGGTCACCTTCAGCGTTGTCATCGAAGAAGAGAGCATCAAAAAAGGAATTTTCAAAGGAATCTCCATTATCTGAAGAACCCTAAAAGAGCCTTCTCGAATTAGAATCATCATCTATAAATATGACCTCATGGGTCAGTTGATTAGTGGTTAAGTGGAAAAACGTTTTGACCAGAAGATACTCCCATCCTAACTAAGGAAGAATCACCACTCCCAAAACTTCTATAAAAACTTATGGTGCTATCACTCATATTGGCTACAATAATGGAAATGCTGAAGATAGGTAAAAAGCTTAAGGTAAGGAGGGTACTTGATAAAAGCAAAATCTAACGAGGAAAGTGAAGTTCAGGTAGGAGGATGAAAGCTTTGTTCAAAGAATATAAATCAGTTTGGGAAATAGTGTTGAGCAAGAACAAGACAATACACTCACAAGTAGAAACTTAATCTCAAAGGTAGCAAAAAAATTTCTTAACACTCGAAAACCCTTATATATATAGGCGAAGACAATCAACATGCTAGATCAATTAGAGTGAGAAGTTGCAAGATTAACAACTGGATTTATCCTAGGGGATATAAACAAACTCAAATGCACTCAAGTATATTAGAGGGAGCTTCATACCCTAAGTTGATCACCTTAGGCCACAGGTAGAGAATAATCGAAGAAACGTCTCAATGATGGAAAAACATTTAATGCGCGTATCTCCCACTAATTTTGCAACTGATCCAAATGTTTCCATTTCTCCCCAATGTCCGACACCGTTATTTGAGGCCAAATGTGACTTCAAAAACTTTCACAGTTGATTCCACCCGTAAAGCCTCAGGGACAATTATTCTGGCCCAGCCAAAAGTCTAAAGCAAAGGTCTAATCTGATGCAAGCCCAACTAGAATAATCCCACGTATAAAGTTAGCACACACGAGATTCAGGGTACAGTTTCTGATGTCCACTCATACTATACTCATCTTAGATTCTGAATTAACTTAGGCTTTATAGTCTAACCTTAAAGGTCTACCCTACGTAAATGCGTTAGAGATCAACACAACTAATTCAAAAGCTCCTTTTCCATCGAAACACAAACTATAGTTCCACAAATGAACAAAATACATAAAATTCCTATATTTTCTTTGAACTCTTATTCTAAATAAATTTATAACAATTAATTTATTTAAATTAAAAATTGATTTTACAAAGTATTTTTTAGTATTCTTTTTTAATATTTTAAGGTTTCTAATATTTTGTTGTTTATAATAAAGATGTTTATATTATTTTATAAATACACATTTTACTATATTCTTTTACTTTTATTTTTGTTTTCTTTGTAAATAAAACCTTTTGCTTTTATTTTATCTTCTACCAAACTACTAAATAATCATTACTTTTGTTTATTTCCTCTTTCATTTTTTCCCTCTTTATTTTTTTATCAATCAAATAAAATAAAAATAAGATAAGAACCAAGCTGTCCTAATTTTTTTTTTTTGACTAAAATTTGTTTTGATTTTTAAATGGCTAAATAGGATTTTGTATTTTTTTTGGTAAGGACTAAAGCACGTCTTCTTTGTGAGATAACTAATGAACCTCGAAAAATACTAGTAATTCATATTAGCAAGTTTTGATGAAATACAAATGTTATTCCTACATTAAAATTATACATCTATATTGTATTTTATTGTTCATTTATACAATAAATAGTAAAATATTATAATAATATTTTTCTTTTAAATAAAATTTTTTAAATATTTTTTTTTTAATTTTTAAATTAAATGATGTTGACATAAAATTGTGTGATTAACCAACTTCATAACTTTATTAATCAACTTTATACATTGTATTAACCAACTTCTTTGACTCTTAAAAGTTTTTCTTAATATCTTGACGCGTATTAGCCAACTTCATAACTTCATTAACCAACTTTTTATATTTCATTAACCAATTTTGATTTATTGTTAAAAATTATTTTTAACATCTGAACGTTTATTAACCAACTTTATAACTTCATTAACTAATTTTATACATTTTATTAACCAACTTTATTTCAATATTTTAAAGACATTGTTCATACACTGTTCACGTATTATAAATACTATTTTTTATTTATTAAAATAATAAAAATACTATTCACCGTATAAATACGATAAACAATGTTTAGTGTAAAAATTTGGTGTAGAAATAATATAGCTCTTTGGTGAAATTATCAATAAATTTTGACTAGATTAAACCAATCAAAATAGAATCACTAAAAAATTTTTTTTTTTTTTTTTGAAAACTCTTGTCAATTAGTTTTAATTAGCGATGAATTTGGGCATTTTTTCTTTCCGTCAAATATTCACGGTAGATTAATATTATCGTCGTAGATTAGTATTATCTCTCGTATTATTTATAAAAAAATTATTTTTTAAATATATTGAATAACTAATATATTTAAACGGTACATTGTATCATATACATTGGTAAGAAAAGTTTATTTTTTAAATTTATAATATAATTAATATATTTAAACTGTATAATGTACTAGATACATTGAATCTAAAAAAATAATTTTTTCTTATAAATAAGACCAAAATATTTATAAATACCATATTTTGAGACTGAAAAAGGGGAGAATTGGTGAGAAAAACTCATATTATTTTTTTTAAAATTATTGAGTTTTAATTAAATCAAGAGAAGAAGAAGTTGAAAAGAAGGAGCAAAAGTATTGCAAAATTTCACATCAGATTTAAAGAGGTATGATTTCATCACTTGTATTATATTTTCTTTTATTCGTAGTAACCAATATTTTGATTTTATTTTATGTTTTTCTTTGAAAGTACATAATGGCTTGCCTCTTACTTCAATGAAACAATGTTAGTGAATGACATTCCAAACTTTTTATTTATATTATCACTCTGTTTATTTAATCACTTTTATTATTGATTGTGTTAGATCTGCTATTGGTTTGTCATTCAACAAACTTCAAAATATTGAGAACTACTCTAAGTCTTGAATTTAGTTTGATTATCATAAATACTAAAAAAAACTAAAAATTAATAGTGAAAATGTGAAATCTAATGTACTCTTGACTCGATATCCGCAAACATTCTTAGATAAATGATTATTGTAAATTTTCTTTTGATTTGACTACGTCAAAGTAGAGGTGCAAATTGGATCCATTAACGCAAAATTCATCTAATTCATCCATCAAAAAATCCATCTAATTCATCCACCACATAAAAAAATAAGTTAATGGATTGGATTAAATATCCAATCCATCCAACATATTTTAAGGATCCAATGAATTATTTTTATTTTCATTAAATTTATCTTTTAAAAAATAATTAAAAATAGATATTTTTAAAAATAATTAAAAATAGATTTTTTATAAGAAAAGAATGCATATTTTTTCCAATAAAAAAATCCGAAATTTTTCAAACAAAAAAAAACGATTTTAAAAAAAAAATTAAAATATCAATTTTTTGGAAAATACAAGAAATTCATATTTTTCCCAAAAAACCGATATTTTTCAAAAATTAAAATATTAATTTTTTTCTTGAAAATACAAAAAACTCAATTATTTTCATGAATATATTAAAAAACAATTTATAAAAAAATACGTTTATGTTTTCGAAATTAAAATAAAATGGATTGATGGATATCCATCCATTAAAAATATGTTAATTGATGGATTAGATAGATTTTATTCTTAATTGATGGATTTGATTGGATAACTTTAAGAAAATTTTAGTGAATTGTTAATGAACTAATGAATTATTTTGATCCATCCATTAACAATCCAATCCATCCATTTTGCCATCCATGCCCATGGGGCACTCGTTAGCATTTCCCCTTTTTATAAACCAAAAGCATTCTTTCATTTTCTTGATTGTATTGTTTTGTCTTCATCTTTTTACTACTCTCATTTCTTTTGTTTTATTCGTTCTCATAGCTTTTCATTGTCTTCAAATCCTTACAATTTCTTTCAATTCTCTGTCTCAATTCACTTGTGTTTATGTGTAGATACGATAAGATTTTTCAACAACAAAAAAAGTTTGTACTTTGAGTTTTTTATATGGCTTCTCGCTCATCACCGTCGAAGATTAACATTAAACCTGAGTATTGTCGAGAAGCTCTCATTGAATGGTATCGCTTAGCGAAATTAGGAGACCACAAAGAGAGCTTTCATAAAAAGGATTTGGTTTTGAAAGCAAAACAACATCTTCTTTTTTTAGGTTGGAAAGTTCAGTATATTAACAAAAAGTATAGATGGAAAATGTGTTATACTTCTCCGACAAATGGAAAACACTATTTTACTCTTAGAAGAGCTTGCAAGAATTGTATTAAAGACGAAGGTTATTCTGTGAATCAACTTTCAACTACACTACAAGCATCACCAACGAATTTAATATCTTCAACCACATTACCATCAAAAAAGAGACCAAGAGCTTTAGAAGAAACTGATGAATCAAATTTCAATAAGGATTATGAAGCCTCTATTTCTAATCCTGTTAAAAAACCTATTATGATAACAACATCAACGTCAGAGGAAAATGAGAAACATGGGTGTCAATCTGAATCAAAATTTACCGATTTAGTGGGTAATAATGGTAGAAGAGAAAAGGTAATAAATATGAGTGTAATGGAAAAGAATTCAGAGAGTCATGGAAAACGGGGGAAGGTATTAAATATGAGTACAAGGGAAAGGTATACACTTGTTTCTTGGCTGATAAATAATCAAGTTTTGATTCCGAATACTAAAGTGTCTTGTCGTGGTAGAAATAATATTGTTAAAAGAGGGAGTTTATCTTTTGATGGTATAGTTTGCGATTGTTGTCAAGTTATTTTCACTATCACAAAATTTGAGGCTCATGCTGGTTGTACAAGACATAGACCATCCACAAGTATCATGTTGGATGATGGAAGGTCATTTTTAGAATGTCAAAGGGATGCTCTGAGTTTGCGTGATCAAAAGAAGGATCGTTTTGTTGTCGAAGAAAATGTTAAACAAGAAAATGACAGTGTTTGTTCTATTTGTGGTCTTGGAGGTAACATAATTTTATGTGATCGATGTCCATCTTCATTCCATATTTATTGTTTAAATCTCGATCAAGTTCCGGATGGTGACTGGTTTTGTCCAAGTTGTTGTTGTAAAATATGTCATCAACCCAAATCCAAACAAGAATGCTATGATCTGAATGATAATAATATTCTTGTTTGTGTTCAATGTGAGCAAAATTATCACTTTGGATGTGTAAATAATGAAGGCATTGGATTATGGAAGATGGATAGAAATGCTAAAAACAAGAATTGGTTTTGCAGTGTAGTTTGTGGAAACATATTTTTAAATTTAAATAAGTTGCTAGGAAAATCAATTAAGGTTGCAGATAATCTAACTTGGACGTTGATGAAAAACACAAGTATTGTTGTAGATGATGATGAAGGAGATAATGATAAAGAGTTTATCTCTAAAGAGTTTAGTCAAAAGGAGAGTAAGTTAAATGCGGCTCTTGGTGTATTATATGAGAGTTTTGATCCAACTATTGATGCTTCATCAGGAAGAGAGTTGATTAAAGATGTAGTTTTTAGTAGAGGCTCAAAACAAAGGCGCTTAAACTTTCGTGGTTTCTGTAATGTGATTTTAGAGAAAAAAGGCGAGGTGATTTCAGTGGCAACTATAAGGATTCATGGTCAAAAGGTTGCAGAGATAGTCTTCGTGGCAACCAAGGAACAATATCGAGGACATGGAATGTGTCGTATGTTGATGAATGAGCTTGAGGAACAATTGTCTCGCTTAGAAGTTGAGAGCTTGATTTTGCATTCCTCCGAGGAAGCAATAAACACTTGGACAAAATCATTTGGTTTTGTTACGATAACTGGCGAAGATAAGCGTCGATTTATTAATCATACTTTTTTAGAATTTCAGAACACTATCATGTGCCTTAAATATCTCAAATGACCTATATGGCATAGAATTTGTTGTTATTAGTTATATTAAATATTTATAAATAATTTATATTGTATAAATTTCGTATAATATGTTATTAATGGCGTACTTTTTTTTTACCGAATCAAACTTAATACATTTCATTAATTAGTAAGTTTTTAATACAAGGAGAAGCTAAATTAAACGAATTATGCATAGGTCATGAATTGGCCGCCCTAGTAAGACTGTGGGCAACAATATTCGTTCGGCGTCTAATGAACTTTACCTCAAAGTTTAAATTAATAGATAGCAAGACTTTTATAGAATTAATAATAACATAAAACTATGAATTATTGTTATAACTAGAGTGAATAGCTTGAACAACTTTCTGAGAATCACATTCAAAAACCACATTATCCAAATGCAAGATAAATGCTTCATGAATTGCTTCTTTGAAAGCCATAGCTTCAACTTCATGCACGAACATAGTTCCGAGCTTTATGTTAGATTTTATTTTTCAAATATATAATCATTCATAATTTGCTTTTATAATCATTCAACCAATAACAAGATTTATAAATTGAATTATAAATCTGTACCCCCAAAAAAGTTATGATTTGTGTTAAGTAATTTGAATAAGTTGATTTACTTTTTTTTTTTCCCAATGCTATAGTTTTGAAAAAAAAAAGTCTTATAAATTTATAAAAGGACAATTAGTGTTAAAGACGTCTGCATAAAGAGTTTATTTATCCAATTTAATTAAAGTGATTTATTCTAAAGAAGAGAAAAGGTCTCTAATTCCATATACTTCAAAAGTGGTTACAATAAATTTAAAATGAGTTGCAAGAAAATAATCATTTCACAAAATATGAACCACACAAACTTAAGGTATTTCAAATTATTTCCCAACCCCCTTAAATATCCCCAAATATCTTCCAAATTCCAAGAACAGGGAATCTTAGGAGTATTTACCTTTAATTGTCTAAGTTTCTCTCACTATGATTACTATATATTCCCTTTTTTCTTCCATCTTAACAAAAGTGACAAAGAACCCATATTTTTAACTACTGAAACTCTAAAGATCCATTTCAGGCTCAAAACACAACCCATCATTGAAACTGACCCAAGACTTAACTGTCGCCTACAGGCCTAATGCACGGTGGCCACCCGTTGGACCCGTTCACCACCTTACGTCGAATTAATGCCTCCTCCACCATCCAGAATCGTGTTAACATTGTCTACCTCCATCACAAACTCGCCGACCTCCCCCGCTGACTCCACGACTCTTAATTTTGTGAAGAAGATCTTTCTGATGAACTTCATTTGATTTTGATGAAGAAAACAATATTAATAAAGAAGAAAAAGATAAAGACAATAATCAATAAAAATTAAATAGAAAAGATCATTAAATTTTAGATTAATTGTATTTATCAGTGATAAATCACTGTTCATATTATATATCACTTAAAATTCTCACGAAAACATCACTCAAACATAAGATAACTTATTTCCAAAGTTAAAAGAGGTATAAACCACTTAAGTAGGCTTAAAAATATGTTTTTTTCAAAAGTCAACACAATTGTAATTGATTATTAGATAAATGTAATTGGTTACATGATTTAGAAAGTGATTCCAAGCAAAATTTCATGGTGGTAATCGATTATCATATGTGCGTAATCAATTACCCATATGCAAGTTTCAAGATTTTCAAACAAAAACATGTAAATGATAATCATATTTTTTGTAATCGACTACATCATGTTGGAAATTTTTTTCATGAACTAGTGTCATGTTTAAGTATTGTTATTGTGAGATGTTGGATCGAACTCTAGTATGGTCGAAGTCTGTTCGCGAGTAATGTATGTTGTAGTCGAAGTCTGTTCTAACATGCATTAGTCAATATTGCTAGGATTGTTAGCATGTTGAATTGGGCCTTGCTTGGAAGACCATTTGTTTAAGTTAGCTTGTACCCTAAGTTAGCTTGTAATGGGTAATTGTTAAAAAGCCCATTAGGTTAGTGTGTTATTTTATTATAAATAGGATGCTAGTTTCTCAATCTTGATATAAGAAAAAATAGGAAGATAAAATCCTAATTTCAAGAGAGAGAGGTTATTTTGTTATTCTTGTATACTTGTAATCTTGTTATAAGAGAAAGGAAAGAATAACAGTTTAATAATCAATCCTTGTTGTTTTCTTCTTTATTAATCCTAACCCTTGTGTGTTTCTTGCTAAGAAACCGTTTATACTTTGTTTAAAGGTATCCGATTCAAAACAAATTGGTGCAGTGAGTGCGGAGAAGATGCCTTCAACAAAGTATGAGATTGAAAAGTTCACCGGAGTGAACGACTTCGGTCTGTGGCGCTTGAAGATGAAAGCCCTATTGGTTCAGCAGGGTTGTTTGGAAGCGTTGAAGGGTGAGGCAGCCATGGACGTTGCGTTAACGGAAAAAGAAAAGACGAACATGATCGAGAAAGCCCACAGCGCAATATTGTTGAGCCTTGGTGATAAGGTTCTTCAACAGGTATCAAAGGAGACTACAACATTGAGATTATGGGTGAAACTTGAAAGTTTGTACATGAACAAATCTCTGGTGAATCGACTCTACCTGAAGCAAGCTTTATATTCATTCAAGATAAGTGAAGACAAAGTGTTGGCTGAGCAGTTGGATATGTTCAACAAGTTGATTCTTGATCTTGAAAATATTAATGTGAAGATCGACGATGAAGATCAAGCACTGTTGCTGCTGTGTGCTTTGCCCAGATCACATGCTCACTTCAAAGAAACTCTCTTGTATGGAAGGGAGTCCCTGACCTTTGAAGAAGTTCAATCATCTTTGTACTCTAAGGACTTGAACGAACGAAAGGAGTATAAACCTTCGACGGTGGGCGAAGGTTTGGCCGTTAAGGAAAAGTTCTTACGAAAGGATGGTAAGTTCGACAAGAAGAAAGGTAAAAGTCAACAGAAGTCTTATAGTGGCGAAACATCTAGTATTCGATGTTATCACTGTAAGAAGGAGGGTCACATAAGAAAGGTGTGCCTTGAACGCCTGAAAGATCATGGAGGTAATGGCAATGCAGCCCATTGTTATACCCCAAATTTGTCCTACCTTTTTTCAAAATTTTCATTCGCCCGACTTTGTTTTTAATTTACCTCGCTTATACAGCGTATCGTATTTTTCAGCAAAAACAAGCATTTTCACTTTTTTAGCCCAATAAGAGCATGCCACGTGGCATTTGTTTTTTGTATATATTTATCATTATTTTTATTTCATAATTTCATTTTTTATGATAGGTTAATATAATATATTTTTTTAATATTAATTTTAATTAGTTTTGAATTAGAAATTAGAATTTAAATTAGATTAAAATAGATTTAATTTAGAACTTAATTATAACTTAGAAATTTTAATTTAGAAAAAAAATAGATTTAAAAAAAATAGAGTTAGAATTTAATTAGGATTTATATTAAAAATTAGATTAGAGTTTAATTTAGTAATAGTTAATATAATAATTAGAAAATATAATAGAATTAGAATTGATCATTAATTATTATTCAGAAAAAATAATTTAAGAAACAAAAATATGAAAATTGAAAGAGGACACGGTAGATATTTTGGGAAATTAGGGTTAGAATTGAGTATAAATTGGGATCTGCACTGTTCATCTTCTAGCAATTGGAAAACTTCCTCTCCTTCCTTCAAACCCCCGCCGCCATCACAATTCTCTTTTCTCCCTCCGTAACCTCAGCAACATCACCTTCCTCTCACCTCATCCTCCTTCGACCATCATCATCATCACAAACCCTCTCTATCTTTTTCACCGTAAACCAACTCTCTGCCGCCATCATCATCCTTCCTACTCCTATTCATCATCCCCAACCTTGTGAAAACCGCAACCGCCGTCACCTAACACCCTTTCCTCTATTGAGCTACTAAAACAACCACTGCGTAATACTCAACAACATTGACAAACAAAAGGCTCCAAATTGCCGCAACACCAACGCTACTGAAGTAATTTCGCTATAGCACGACGTTAGGTTCCATCTTTGGTTCAACAACTTGGTTTGAATGTAATGGCTTCGATATTTGCGGGTTGCTTCTATTTCTCTGATGCGAACAAAGGTCTTGTTCTGTTACCGTGAAAGAGGGTTAGAGGATCTTTCAAATGTATTTTCTTAGCAGCTAAACTTCTTTCTCGATTTATTTTGGCAACACTGCTTCGTCCATAATAACTACGGTAACTACACGACGTCGATAATCTGCAAATCATTTTGACAAAATTTGTTAAGTTATACTTGTTGTTTCATTGCGTGAGTTTTTTTTGGTTATGTTGCAACTTGGACCTTGTAGTATTTCAAATATATGGTAATTTTTATAGCATTAGAGTGTTTGACATGCTCTATTCTTTTTTTAGAAATTTCTATTGAACTGTTGAGATGACATTAAAACTTGGGTTGATACTTTGATGTTTATAATACTGTTTTTCCTTGAGTTTTATTGAATTCAGGCTACAGATAAAATTGGTTGGTTATTTCATGTCTTGGTTGATTAAATATGATGTATTGTGTTTACCAAGCTGAGTTAAGTTTTTGCAGCACTGTCATGTACATACGTTTTGCGAAACCGTAGTTTCCGAGTTGGATGTATCTATTTTAGTTTCAATTTAAACTCACATGATTTCTGTTGTTTCACGTTGAATACTGTTTTTAGCGGTACGGTGAATTCTTTTTGTGTTGCTACTGTTCGTGTTGGATATATGAGTTTGTTTAGTTTTTTTTTTAAATTGGTGAAGTTAATGAACAATAGCATGAACCTTTATTTTTTCAAATAAAGTTTGCAATAACTTATTCTTTTTTTCGGATACTGTAACTTTCATATTTCTTTTTATTTAATTTTTTTCTCATTTTAGAACATGTTATATTTTATTTTAGTGGATGAAAGCATGCTGTTATGAAATCTAGAAAAGTTAAGAAGTTAATATGGTGTCTCATTCATGTTAATGGAAGTTGTAGCATTTGTGTGTTTGTGTTTTAAT